CCAGCCAGATCCAGTGCTGGCTTCCGTTCTCTCACACACACAAACTACGTTTTTCCCACTGGTGGTATCCATTTATCTATTTGCAATATTTCATGCTTTCAAACTGCTGGATAGGTAAGACCCAGGGAATGAGCGATGGGAGCTCACTTCATCTTGCCGAGCCAGGCTTGAACCATCAGAGTGCAGACCATTACTGACAAATAGTTCCAACATTATTAAGCCACTGCACCATCACATAAGAGATAAATTACTTTTAGTAGAAAATAGTTTAGTTGCTGAGCTTTGGTTTATTTAAGTAAAACTGTTAAAAAGGCTTTGTGAGATTCCTGTCTGGAATTATTTTTTGTTAAGAGTTCACTGTCCCAGAGTCTGACACAACGTTCACTGGAGAGTACAACAAAATTGATGATAAGTTAATTCCAATGTGTAAGCCAGGCTCATACAACCCAACAGTAAAATATGGTTGAGTTTTATTTTCATATTTTTGTGGGTGGGGTGACTCTTGTGTCTATTTTACTGAGAAGTAACAACCTAGATGTATATATATAAAAGAGTATGCTATATATCTTCTCTGTAGACATATTTGAGTTACTGTTTCAGATGTTCTTCAGTGATTGTTTCTTTTAAGTCAAGATTTTGAAGAAAGTGGCTTGTTTTAATAATGTTTTATTCTTGCTTAGAGGTGAGAATTCTCACAGAGCCCCAGCCTAAGGGCAGACTTTATATTTTTTCTCTTACTTGTGTCTTTGCATCCAGGTTAGTCAAGATCATTCAGATATTTCATCTCTTTAATCAATATTAGAATGCTGAAATGTTATAACCATTCATTAAATTTGCATAATGCATACATTCGACTCTTTATTGGATATAACATCAGATGTGAAATATAGTTATTGTAAGTCTTCTTAGATTATGCTTTTCAGAATTTAGTGGAATGTATTTTATTAACTCTGCAAGAGCAGTAAAAGTGCTTTAATTCTACTGAATTGTAATTAAAAGGGAAAATGCAAACTAACATAAATATGATTATTAATAAACATTCTTATTTTTTACATTGTATGTTTTATCTATATTTTATGTATACACTTTATCACTTGGATAAACAACATGAAAAATCAAGGAAGGAAGGAAGGAAGGAAGGAAGGAAGGAAGGAAGGAAGGAAGGAAGGGCAATAGTTGACTGCATGATTGATGGCTGCCCTTTGGTAGTCTGTACAAGCAACACAACTATGGGTTCTAACATTATCTTTATTGTAAGGTCTCGCAAATCTGAAAGTAAATCTTTCCCTTCTCACCTTACTGTTCAAGAAATTAGGTGTGTCCCTTCTGAGATATTTGCCATGCCCCATTTCTTCTGTGAATTAAGCTGTCTCTTATCTAACTTTTGCTTAATCTGCAATACTTCCTCCTCCTGCCTCTTAAGAATATTACCATAGACCATTGTAGGAAAGAATTAAACGAGATAAACAAACAAACAAAAACCTTTGCAAACATCATTTGCTACATCTGCCCTGTTTTACCTAGCCATGGTTTACCTTTATAGCCATGGTTTACTTCATCTGTACATTGATACATTATCTTCTACTGTTATGCTCTCACTTTCTAAGAATTTAGAGTCCTCAAGAAGGATATATACACCCTTATTCAGCAAATGCATGCTATAAATATAAATATCATGCATCATTATAAAAGCAGCAAAGTACAATGTGCTCTTCTAATTCAGTAGTTTCCTCTGTACAAATACAGTATCACTCTACATAAGGGAAGTTATTAAATGTTCCCTGCATCAGCATCAAGGATAGGGCTTTCTACTGAATACTCTTTTGTATATGATGAAGTAATACTATAAAGGTACTGAGGAGTTTCAAAAGGACTCTGAAAGAGGTTCTTGAAATAGTAGGAGGGAATTTTAGCTCTCTCGTACTGTATATCCAGACCAAGTTCTATGTTTAACATTTGGCATAGCTCTGTCAAGGCAAGCAATATTAAAAATGGGGCAGAGGAGTCATGAAAAGGTCTTCAACAATGGTTTTTTTCCAAGATGAAATAAACTTACCAGTGAAAGTGAGCTGAGCCAGTAATTCACCAAGAAGCTATCTCAACAAAAAATTTATGATGAGCAGCTATGAGGGGAACTGTAGTTCCAACTGAAGAAGGACATTTGGGATAAAGTTAGTAAGTAACTTGAAATAAAATTCTAATGATTTCTGACTGAATGGCTTCCAGTGCAATGAATCAATAATGTTCTATAGAAAATACCAAAATGGAAAAAAATCAGCACATAAAAGACCTCGGTGGCAGAGAATGATCTTCAAGAATATAAGGAAAATACATTAAAATAATATAATAAAACATGATTTCACCTACCCAGTTAATTGGCTGTTCTGACCCCCCCCCCCTCTTTACTAGTTCACAAACGACAGCCAGACAGAACTTCAAAGGAAATATCTTTATCAGTCCTGGCTCAAGCTGGCTGCGAGCCCAAAATAAACATAGATAA